ACTTAATCCCAGAGTTATTCCTGGATTCACAGTGATTTGCACATGCCATCTCATTAAGTTCTAGACGATCAGTGAAATGAATATTGTGCATATACAAATATATATCCTAGGCATCTTGGAGTGAATTGATTCCAGGGGCAAATATGTTGACTTTGAATGAGTTGCATCAGATATAAATATGCACTGTTACGTTCTCATCTAACACCCCAAGGCACACATATAATGAATAAGATGTGTATAGTTTCTTGTGATTTTTACTTAGTCCATGATGGAAAAAGACATTTGATGGGTGATTAGTCAACCTTGGACACCTCTCCGATCAAGCTAGATATGTTCAGTGGGATACTAAGCCTTTACATTCTTTTCTTCAGTGGGAAAGCCTGGTTTATCACTGCACTGCTTAGTCACCACCCTCTGCATGAACGATGCCATGAAAGTCTCCAAAGATTATCCTTTTAACAAGGCAAGGAGGCACAAATGCTTATCTGGCTGACAAAAGACACGCCACCAATGACCAGACTTTTCACGTGAAACTTCTTCCGAATGTTTGTTTCTATTTGAACAAGAAAGCAAACAATTTTATTTCTGGTGCCCCTGAGCTTCGTGTCACCCTTCCAGTTAATAACAATAGCATTTTGGAAAAGATGTCTGTGTGGGGGAGCAGAGATTATTGTTGCTTCCACTTACAACTGTTGAAGATTTTGGTGTCTTTGTATCGCCAGAGCCACCTATCCTGTGCATCTCAGGGTGACCTGTTTGTTCTTATGCCAACATTGTCCTTTAGTTTAAATAACTCTTCTCTCTCCCTGACGTTTACTCTTCTCTGATATATTTTTAGACAACAATGCTATTGCCTCGCGATTCAGCTTGGTGGAAAATTTTGCACAACTCGCCCTGAGTGATGCTGAGGATATCGGGGAGTGGTGCAGGGTGAGCGCTGGCAGGCAGAAGCTGCGGGAGGGTTTCCAGTGCACCCGGTCGCTCAGGAACACGGGGCGTTTGTGGGACAAAACGTGGCCCCTGTTCTGTGCCCAGCCACCGAGCTGCAGAGAACCGTGACAAGGAATTCAGTCTGATCTAATTTTCCCTCTCTGAGCCTTTTTTGGACTGCTAAAATGTACTGTTCCACTCTGGGTACTGAAGGGGTTATATCATAATCTGTTTGTGAAGCATGGTGGGGTGAAAGAGGGCATCACATGAAAAACTATGATTTCACATGCTGCTTTTCTGACACTGTTACCTTGTTCACATATGCAACTGTTTTTCATGCTCAGCCAGCTTTGTGTGCTTCTTATTTGGAAAGTTCTCAGAGAATCACACTCTGTTTTGCCACAGAGAGCTGGGCAGAGGAAAATCCCACTAAAATGAACGGTGTTACTGGTAATTTCAGTGGTTTGACTGACTGGATTGGAACTTACTTCTTCTAAACTTAGCAGCAAGCTATGCCCTGGCATAGCTTGCCCTGGCATAGCTTGCTCTTTTATTGCATGTAACACTGGCTATACATCAGGGAAATGAGAAAAAAGATCTGCACGGAGGATGCCATTTCCCCCTTAATAATAAGCGGTAATTATTTAAAAATAGAAAATTAATTTAAAACATGACTAAATATCTAAACTCTTTGCTTGGCATTGAAAACTGTAACCAAAACTCAGAGTTCTCAAGAGTGCCGCAGAGCAGTGCCAACCTGCAAGCTTTTTCTACTAAGATTACGACTAAAATATTTTCCATAATTCCTGTCCTCACTCTTAGTACCTTAATACTTAACAACAGCCACCCGTATTTTAAACTAGCGCCCCGCTCACCGTCATACCTCAGAACCAAATAAAGCTCCTGGCAGACCCTTCCCGTAAAGCAAACACGCAGGGGAGAAGGAGAAAGGGGAAGACATCTCTGCAACGCCCGTGTAAACACCCAGCGATTCCTCTCCAGCGTTGTCCCACAGAATTAACAGATCCTGAGGGAGCAGCCGTAGCTGTGGAGTCCGTAGCCCGTTTCTCTGGGCTCACTCCGGGTCTTTGGTGCTTTCCCTTCACCCTGCCACCCACCGCAGCTGCAGAGGTGAGGGCAGCGTCGAGAGGGCTCTGCCAACGTTAGCTCTCGTTTCTGTCTCCGGGCTCTGTGGGGATGGCAGAGGTGCCGGCATCTTCCTTTCTAGCTCCCTCTTGCGCGCTCCTTTCCCAGCCTGCCAACTGCTTTTCTGCCTGGTTTGTGGATACGGGAGGCTGTGTCCATCCCTCCGGTGCCGCGGGGGAAGTTGCCACAGGCTCACATGTGCATGGAGCAGGGGAAGTCAGTATCTGCACAAGCAGGCTGGAAGCCACGGCAACTAGGAAACACATTAACTATAGCTGGAACTTCAGCTTCTTTACCTAAGCATTGACTTTACTGGCTATGCATGCATTTTCTTCATGTTACTTCTTCATGTTAAGCTGCCATAGGAAGTTTTCAGCTGCAAAGCGGGCCCCTAGCAGCCTGGGGGGGTAACAGGCTGATTCTCAATCCCATCTCCCCTAGCCCTGAGAGACAGCTGACGGCTCGGCATCAGCAGCTAGCTCTCCTGGGAGCAGCTCTTCTCCCACAGACCAGCAGGCTCTGGGTACTGAGAGGTAGCTAAAACGTGTCTTTCTCTGAAAAATGAATACATGAAATACTTTCAAAGGTGGCGATCCAGCTCAGCAGCTCTGCGTCTTGATCTGTATTTTGGATTCCTCGGTTGTGAGTCTCAATTAAAATGTACCTACCCGTACATAAAGAGCCTACCAGTCCCCCTTTCTGTCTAGCCTTTCTGAGGTCCCTGGGCAGTGTCAGGAGGAGAGGCCATTCGACCGCTACCGTGGTGTATGCTTTTCCCATCTCCCTTGGGGCTAAAAGCCTACAGTGTGGGTATTATACTTTTTTTGGTGCATTATCACAGCCTGGGATTTGTGCTAGCAGCTTCTTTCCCAGGACACGCTTTAGTCTTGTGTTTGCTGTTTCATTGCAGTATTTCACCAGTTGCTTGTGAGAGCGGCAAAACACGCGAAGGGAAACAATTGCAACGTGTCTCTCTGTGTTCACAGAGCCGCCTGTTCCCTATCCAAAGTGCTGCTTAGTAAAATATTTTTGGGTTCTCAGCATCAACCTAGTTTTCTTCATACATATGCTGCACTGCTACTAATTAAGTATTATGCAAGTCAAATTGTCTGCAGGAACTTGTACAACTTCATAGTCTTTATACTATGCTCTGCTGGCACTTCTTCAATCACATCGCCTTCAGCAGATTTGCACATTCCCTGAAACGTGATAAAACAAATTTGCCATACTCAGAAGTAAAATTCAGACTTTTCCATAGCTGTATTCGCTTCTCAGCGGAGGAAGCATTGCTGAGTAAAAAGACACCATATGTTATCCAGTTGGTTTTCAGAGAAAGTCTCACACAACTTAAAACTAAACATAGGCCTTGAATCGTTGCTAGAAATAGACTGGGAAATAAGTCTACAGGCACTTATGACATGTGCTTTTGAAGTTTTTTCTCTTTAAGGATCAGGCAGATGAAATTTTCAGTCAAATTCTTCTATTTTTGGATACATTCAATGCTGCTATTATTACCCTTAAGATACCAAGGTATCTTAAGTGGTACTGCATAGGGTTAACTACCATAACAAAGGATCATTAGACAAATGGTTGAACTTTTTCTAGAATATTCATAATGTTTGCAGTTTGTTGTGTGGTCATATCTGTTAGACTTTTAAGAGAGATTCCTATTTTACAGATGCCTCTTCTAGAACTATAATTCCATTAACTGACTTAAAAGATTGTCTTTAGACTCTGTGAAGCAAGCGAGGCAAATCCTAACTGTCGACAACTGCCTTCTGCTATTTTAGCGATTTTGTTAACGGTTCAGAATGTCTGGTGCATGGTCCTGCCCTTCCATGCCCATGTAGCGAATGAGCCCCTGAGCCCTCCTTCGTTGTCTCCAGGGCTGGATGAAGCTGCTCACATTGCTGTGTCAGTTCTGGGCGAGGGCAAGGCTGGAGACTTGGAGGAGCTGATGCCTCCTGTGGTTGGGTCTACAGCTAGGAGAAAATTACTCTCCCAGATGATGTTAATTATGTAAAAAGAGATGTATGAAGTACGTATTCCATGAAGGCCCTGAGTACTGGAACGGAAGGAACTGAAATATCTGTGAGTATTATGGATCCATTCATCTTTGCTTAAGTTAGGTGACTTGGGTATCAGTAATAATTTAGCTGTGCCAGAAGTAATCTGAGCACAGAGCAACTGTAGAGTATTTGGGCGCTCAGTCAGCCCTATGTTATTCTCCGTAAGCATGCAACAGTTACCGGGATGTCAGTCGTACAGCTTGAAGTTAGGTTGGAAAGTCTAGTCTACCCTGAAAGTAGTATGAAAACATAAATGACTAGTGTGAACATTTGCTGCTTCAGATTTTTTCTCTGGTTGGCTCCAAGTGTGTGCAGCTACGTTCTGCTCCTTACATAGGACAGATGCAGTTATAAGTGAGCCAAAATATCTGATGAATTAATGTGTAAAATATTTAAATGAGCAGAACAAGATATTTTTCTTCTTTACCAAACTTAAAAAAAAAGCAATGACAGTTGAAATATTTTAGGCGCCCAAAACAATATTTTATATCCATCCCTTCATTGGGCATATGAATCCAAATACAGTTTACTAGTTTTAACAGGTTTCTCCTTTTCCTAACTGGGATTTACCAATCATTAATTTGCAAGATTTTTTAAAATCATTTCTACTTCTTAACTTAGGTTCAAGTGAGATTTCTTTAATTTCTGGAAATTTTATTCTGGTATCAATAGTAAGAGATGATTTTTGCCCTTCCCTTGGGACACAGAAAAGACTATAGATGCATTAAGCTGTACAAACTGCAGCCTACTCAAGCTGTTACTTACACACCGTACTGCAAAACATCTAGAAGCAAAATGATATATTTCAGCAAATCATCTATTCATCAGACATTTCTATTAACTGCAAGTGTGTAGTGAGCAGGTACGGTATTGTTTTAATATATCAACAAGATAGACAATGTTAGAATGCACATGTTATTCTACATTTTTAGGAATTACAAATAAGACAACAATGTGCACAGTACTTAAAAAAGCAGTGAACTTCTTTCCTAGCTGCATTGACAACACCAGATCCTTACACCGTTGAATCTGGTTAAAAGCTCTACTCCCATCGTAATAAATGTGAGACTACAGATACAACATTCACAGCAGAGATCGTTAAGGCTCTGTTCTGATGATTGTTTATTTCTCTGTGCATACTTCCCCTCTCTCCTCTCCCACTCCCGTCCCTTCCCTCCTCCCATCCCCCCATGCTTTTCCTGTACAGAGTGAAAAGCTCATTGGCGCCAGAGTATTCTGGAAGAAAAGTTTAAAAGACTGTAACCTGAAAACAATGAAAAGTATAATGAAATGTAGACTTATAATAATAGCAATACCTGGTACTTATAAAGCTGTTTCCATCTTTGTAATTTCTTTTTTTGCACAGTGGAAGAAACCAGTATCCACCTCCCATTGTGCTACATGCTCTACAACAGATAGCACACACACAAAGGAGTCCAAACCAAAGACCATACAATCACACTGGGTCTTAGAGGTCTTTCAGAGTTTGAGGAACAACGGTCATCTCTATTTTGGAGACGCAGAAGGTGAGGCACAGAAAATCTTGCGCAGAAACCCACCGTGAACCAGTGGTAGACTTTGGGTCTATTGACTCCCCAGCTGCTGATTTATTCATTGGTCCATTCTGTCCTCTTAAACCACTAAGAGAAGATCTTCTCAGACACACAACATGGGCCTAGTACACAGGGTACAGTGTCAAAAGCGCACAACCTGATTCCGTGCTACTTTTTGGTGCCTGCAATATTTTAAATTCACATAAAGACGACCTAAAATACCCTCAAATCAAAACAGCATTGGCATACATGACTACAATGTGTAGTTTAGTAGACTCAGGCTCAGAGCAATTGTTTGTGGCATGCTGAAACTAGAATTAACTGACTGTTTTAACTCGTAACAAATTAAGGCTGGATTCTTGTTTATATTAAGGCCTCTATCCTATGAAAATATAACCGTGCCTCAGTGCAAATGAGACTCAGGCTCACCTGAATAGAAAACTCACCTTCCAGTTCCCTTTAAAGTCAATAATTTCACTGGCCCTAAATCAGTAAAATAACTGTAACCAAACAACTTGTCCTTATACCATGGACTATTTACAAAAGGACCTGAAAACAGTCTGAAGGAAAACCAATCATGTTTGTTGAAGAAAAAAGTTAGATTACACAGATCCGTTTGCCTGGTATTAACATGGAGGACTGCAACATGACACCACATCTTTACATGAAGATAACTGGCTTGATGTTTGGAGGTTATGAGCGTGTCCAGATAAATTGTAGCTGCTTACCAACTCTGGAGATCAAGCCATCATGTTATACTACTGAGATAAAATAGAAATAGAGTTATTTGGCATTTAAGTGCTAGACATATAGGGCGTAATTTGCATAAAGCTAGAGTGTGTTATATTCAGAGGTGTAGGAAGATGACCTCAAGCTCAGTAAAATGCTACATGATCACAGATTTCTCCTATTATTATTGTTATTAAAAGTCATTATTTGTTGCTTTCTCAGAATAGCAATTCTCCAACTTTGCTGCTCTGTAGCCCAACATTATTTTAGAAATTCTCTCCTTTCCTAACACTCTGTTCATAACAGTTTTGGTTTTAAAAGCTTCACTGTTTTTAGACAACTGTTTAACATTTGCTGGCTTAGAATAAACCAATCTTTGTTCTCTTCAAATTCAACCCCATGGGTTGCAGCTTTTTTTTTTTTTTTTACTTCTAATTAGAAGTAGATTTATTTTTTAAAGCTAATATGAAATTGATTTGTGTGAATTAACATAATTCCTCAGGCATCAGTGTGGCTATGACAGTTACCCAGCTGAGGATGTGGCCTCCAGAATGTACCTCTAGTATTTAGGAAATCTGTTTTGTATACAAGTCAGATAACAGCTGGATCATATGTGATGTTACAGTTACTTTCATTGGCAATTCAGAAAATATTTAATAATAAATTTCATTGCTTCCATTCCCCATTTTCATATACAAATAAATTGTCTTTTCTAAAACATTCTTTTTCTTTAGTAAGGCTTGTATTCATAGTCATATCAAAAGTGTTTTGGAGCAATCTTTCTGCTTGCTTTCTTCAGTTATCTTTATTATGAAATTCTACAGTGTTCTAAACCTTAATGGTCATTAGCAAACCTGCACTTGCGTAAAGAATAACATTAAAAAACTATAAGGTAAAGTATTTTCTTGTCTAAAACTAAGGCAGGATGAACTGAAGTAATGAGCTCATCTGATCCTCACCTATCAAGGCTTGATTTTAAACTGTATTCAAAATACAAAGCCCAGTAGAGGATGTTGTCATGATGATTATTGCGCTTTCTCAGTATCTTGCTACAGGATTCTTTTTTTCAGCAATATATAATTTCTTTTCTTGAAGACCACACAAAGTTATTGTACTCTGTAAAAAAAAAAAGCACTTAAATTTTTATGAAGTTATGGATTAGACAGAAGGATTCAAAAAAACAATTACCACTCTATGATTCAGCTACGTCACGATCTAATATTATTTCAAAATTATTTCTCTGTTAATTAGATTGGCATCATTTTCTGAACACCTGATGTGCTCTTTGGCGTGCTACAAATTTAACAGATGCACTGTCTTCTGGGCTTTACAGCTTCCTCTGATGAATGTACAACATTTGGAACAAAGCCACTCTTAACACCTTCCCATCCATCTTGTATTGTGATTTCTCCTTTTTTCACAAGTTCATAGATATCTCGGGTAAGAATTGTAAAGGACTCTTCAACATTTGTGGCATCTTTTGCTGAAGTTTCTATGTATTTCATACCACAGTCAGATGACAGTTTTTCAGCTTCTTCTCTTGTAACCTCCCGCTGTGATACTAAGTCGCATTTATGTCCTACTAACAGAAATACAATCTGAAAGGGCTGTACATGCATTTTTGCTTCTTCTAGCCAGTCTTTCACATGTTCAAAAGATCGCCGATTTGTGATGTCAAACACTAGTAAGCCACCCACAGAATTGCGATAATAAGATCGTGTTATTGATCTGTGAAGAAAAAAGAAAAATTAAAATTAAAATTAAAATACACTTTGACTTTATTTGTAAACTGGTTACTTTTCCATGTGGCAATGTGTTTGTTTCTACTACAATTTTTATGAAATATGTCTTCGCTTTTCTTTAATCAGAATTTATGAGTTTGCCTTCTCTGCACAAAGATGTTCCTTTTTCGTGTTTCCTGATGCTCAAAAGTCACTTTCTAAACATTCTTGAAATCAACACCTCCGGCAGCAGTTTGCAATGCTGAATTATTCTGGAAAGTGCTGTTACTAGTAAACTGTTGCACGTATTCACAAAATATCAAAATATTTAGCTAATATTTGTTAGTGTTGAAGTCCCAGCTGTTCAGTTTTATATACCCATGCACTTAAATTCATTCTAATGAGTTATTTGTAGGTGGACAGGTAACAGATTATGAAAGGGAACTCCCGAAACAACGCTGTCCAAAATTAACTTCAGCTGAGCAAACACACACTTGTTAAAGCGTTGAGAAAGAACGCTTCCACTTCTATCATATCTTTCACATTGAGGTTCAAAAGCTCTTTATGTTGTATTTATCCTTTTTTGGTACGACACTTCCAGGGCTAGTGAGAGATGTTGTCTACTCTTCAGCCCTCTACATTGCAAAGCATTAATTGGAAGCAATTTTGGAAGGCGGAAACCCTTCCTCTGATAGAAAAGATTTTTAATAAGCTCTAGAAAGAGAAGAAAATTATTTGCTGGAATGTCGATGGAGAAAGATAAAGGGACTGAAAAATTATTTTAAATTGTAATCATGGGCGATAGGGGAGGATGGCGAAGGTAACATGAGCCATTTTAAAGGAAGTGAAAGCAATCATTATTTGAAATGATAACATAGCAAAGAATTAATTCCATTTTATCTTATGATAGTGACGAGAATATAGCTTCAGAACCTTTTGGGTGAGGATCAGCTGTACCCAGTAACATATCCTTCCGTAACAGTAACTCCCACTGATTTTCAGTTAATCAGATGTTATATAGTGTTTTATAACAATTTGAACAGAGGTGTAATTAGCTGCAGTAGTCATATTACAGAGAGGTAAGTACATAGTTAGATAAGGCTTAGCTTCCTTTGGATGACTAAATTCCTTTAGACATAGCAAACTGCATTTGATATGGTTTTATCTAGATAACAGGGAGGGATTGTTTATCCTAATTTTCAGAAAGATCTTTTCTACATTCTCAACAACAGAGTCCACGGAGTTTGTTTCTGAACAGTTCCAATGTAAAGACAAACCCTCAGGTTCATTCAAACAGCATGGATATGAAAAATGACATGTGGTTTTGACAAATTATTCAAGTCTGTAAATAAGGGCTATCACAGTCTGTGACATATTGTATAAAAAAGGTACTATAAGAATCTGTTCAAGGTTTTTGTAAGTGGCATTTTTGCAGTGGAGCAGTTGCAAACACAAATGAGTACATCAGAATAATTCAAGTGGCTTCAGACTAAGGAAAAGTATGTAAAGAAAAATGGGATTACGCCTGGAAAAATGTAAACTAATACAATCAATTTTCAGAAAACAACTACCCTGAAAACAATTATGCCAAAGAAATGTATTAGCAGGTGAAGAAAGTGAGTATTGAAAAAGCACTGCACCGTCTACCAAATATTTTTATATAGAATGATGCTGTTTCATCTATGTGAATGGGTATGCTGAAGAACAGTACTGCTTCGTGCTTATACGTAGTAGTCTGTATCCCCTCCTATGTAACTCACTAAAGCAGAGCTATGGCAATTTACACTAGCTGATGATCTAGGCCATTATATTTAATTATGTGTATGTACTGTCTACAGCAAAGATGGCTAATAGCATCTGTAGCTTTGTGCTGTACGTTACAACAACCGGATGAATATATGAGAGAGGTAGCAGCCATTTTTTCTGTATTTTTGGAATATACCATTTGAAATTAGTTTTCTCATTACCAAAAAAGGTAGATATACTAGAGATACTTTTAAAAACAGCAACAAAAGAAAGTAGGGAAAAAAATAGCAAAAGAAAGTATAAAAATCAACATGATTTCATTATGTGCTAATTAATTTATTGTCTAATATCTGAGAAAGCATGATGCTTGTTGAAATATGGTCTGCAAATATTTAAATAGGCTTACTATTCAGGTGAGTTATTATTTACCTTTTCTTTAAAAAAGAAAGTATTTCTGGGAAACGAAGACAAATTTTTGAAACAGAATGTTTAGGCCTTCAGTTTCAAAAAAAGTCTGGGCTCATAAATGTGGTAGGTTGTCCAACAGTATCAAAAACATTTTATAGATACAAAATATTTGACAGTCAAGAACCAAGGGCGAGAGGCCCCAATGAAGCTTCTCACAGCTCTTTCTCCCTCAGTTCTTTTCACAACAGTCCAATCCCAGGCAACAACTGCACCATGTCACAGCTGGCCTTGAATACAGGCAGCCAGACTCCAGGCAGGGCAATAGGTTGCACAGAGTGTAGATGCACTCAGAGCCCTGATAGTTATGTTTTATAAAAGCTATAAATACAGGCAGCTATGCCTTAGAAAGAGGGAGGGTATTGTTCATCCTCTTTTTCACCTTTGCTCTCAGGAGGTGATTCAAGGCTGTGCATTCCAGGTGGGCAGAAACCTCTCGAAGTAGCAAATTTTCAATCCCATTCCCAACCCTATCGTTTCCCCTTGGTTATCTCTGGGTGACTTCCTGCTTGGAGAGGCCACTATCAGCCGAGTTCTTCAGATCCTGCACAAGGAACCTTCCTAATACAAGGTTCTGGATCCCACTCCAGGATATGATACCTAGTACTAAATTTTTAAATTGTTTTAAAGACGTATTTCTCAGCCTCTTTTATCTGACATGCTGAAAGGAAAAACGCTTGATTTCAACGCAGGACATTGTTCTTCTACAGCATAAGCACCATCTCAGAGATTATATGGACCACAAAGCACCACTGAGTTGGTTAAGAAACTGCAGCCTGGAAGAGAGATAACTCAAGGGAGAAATGATAGAGGTCTACAAAATCACAAAGAGAGCAGACACAGACACTGTCATCTCTTCAAGTACAAAAGCTAGAGGCTACCAAACATAGCTAGTAGGAGTCAGGTTCAAAACAAATAAACAAAATGATGGCCCTTCATGCAACAGGTGGTAGGTGTGTAGACCTCCTTGGGAAAGATGCTATGAATGCAAAGAGTTTATCTGAATTCCATGAAAGACTGAACAAACACTGAACAAGAGGCTGACAGAGGTTTATTGAATAGACAAATCACATCACGCTCAAGAAATCCCTCAAGTTGAAGTACAGGCTGGTAGAGTACTCAGGAGAATGCAAAGGCTCTATCAGAGACAGGATGCCTTTCAACACTGTCTCCCATAACATCCTCATAGACAAGCTGATGAAGTACGGGCTAGATGAGCAGTCAGTGAGTTGGACTGAAAACTGCCTCAACGGTAAAGCTCAGAGGGTTGTGATCAGCAGCACAAAGTCTAGTTGGAGGCCAGTAACTAGTGGTGTACCCCAGGGGTCAACACTTGGTCTAATCCTGTTTAACATCTTCATTAATGACCTAGATGATGGGGCAGAGTGCACCCTCAGCAAGTCTGCAAATGATACAAGACTGGGAAGTGCAGCTGATACACCAAGTGGCTGTGCTGCCATTCAGGAGGACCTTAACAGGCTGGAGAGATGGACTGAGAAGAACCTCATGAAGTTCCACAAAGGGAAATGCCAAGTCTTGCGCCTGGGTAGGAATAACCCCTTGCACCAGGACAGGCTGGGGCCTGACTGGTTGGAAAGCAGCTTTGCAGAGAAGAACCTGAGGGTCCTGAGGGACAACAAGCTGACTATGAATCAGCAGTGTGTCCTTGTGGTAAAGAAGGCCAACAGTATCATAGGCTGCATTAGGAAAAGCATTGCCAGTATGTCCAGGGAGGTGATTCTTCCCATCCACTCGGTCCTGGTGAGGCCACATCTGGAGTACTGTGTTCAGTTCTGGGCTCGCCAGTATGAGAGACACGGACATATTGGAGCGAGTCCAGCAAAGGGCCACTAAGATGATTAAGGGACTGAAGTATCTGTCATATGAGGAAAGGCTGAGAGAGCTGGAACTGTTCTGCCTGCAGCAGAGAAGACTGAGGGGGGAATCTTATCAATGTATATAAATACCTGATGGGACGGAGGAAAGAAGACAGAGCCAGACTCTTCTCAGCGGTGCCTGGTGACAGGAGGAGAGGCAGTCAGCACAAAGTGAAACACAGGAAGCTCTGTCTGAACATAGGAAAATCTTTTTTACTGTGAGGGTGACTGAGCACTGGAGTGGGTTGCCTAGGGAGGTTATAAGGTCTCCATCTTTGCAGATATTCAAAAGCTGTCTGGATAGGGTCCTGGGCAACGTGCTGTAGCTGACCCTGCCTAAGCAGGGGGATTGGACTAGAAGCTCTCCAGAGGTACCTCCAACCTCAACTCTTCTGTGATCCTGTGAGTATGGACCTTAGACTAAACCAGACTGGCCTTTCTTGTGTTCTCTCACAAGAAGAGAATCAATCCACTTACACGATTATACACACTTAGTTACTGAGTGCTGCAAAATCAGACTCTAAGAGCAAAAATGAAGTTTTTGACTGCATTATTCTTATCACTTTTTAAATAGAAGCAAAAAAATAGGGTCCTGCAAGTTGTCCAAGTCAGGATGAAGCACTGGTGACAGGTCAGATTTGATGCAGCCCGACTTATTCATAAAGAATTTCCCAAATTACACAAGAAACCTGCGTGCAAATTGTAAATTATTGTTGAAATTATGGCTTCTCATTTAGAGTGAACTTTGGTTCAGCTAATGAATACTGATTAAACTAGCATTATGGAAGGGAAAAGTACTGTCTAGAACAGAAGTCATCTTCTTAGCTTAATCTAAATATTAGGTTAACGATGTAAGACCATAATTAATACTCTCAGGAAAAGCTTTGCTAAGATGAGGCCCACTGAACAATTGTTTCTT